GGGTTCCTATTAATATGATAATTTATTATACTCTACACAACTATGTTGTCAGGGTATTATAGCTCTGTGCAGCCCCAAGAGTTTGTCACGCCGCGAAATATTGGTCCTAGACCCACCTTCAAGTATACCGATCGTCATATCTCGACTAGCTGCATCGATCTAGACATCTGTCCATTATAATTTGCAATTTGAAATAGCAAAATTTTGGCCACCTATCTCAAGTGGTACGGCAGTTAATGAGTTTATATCCAATTTTTGGGTAAATAGTCGGATATTTACCAAAGTATTTACCCAAGTCTTTAAAGTATCGTAAAGCTATACATTCTAAATCGATTTGATAACAAAAACCCGGAAATAGTGTGTAAGATGTTGGATTAGCGATTCAATATAGTAAATACCCAAATAAATACCCGCAAATGGATATTTACCCACCCCTCAGAGGCCGCAATTATGGCCCAAACACCGCAAAACCCTAACTAAAAATTAAAAACTTTGTATTCTATGGCGAATATATTTACACCTGAATGACATAGACCCAAGAAGTGGATAGTATTTCCAAGAGGAGTGGTTGACCTTTAAGATGATACCAATTATATTGCCGTAGGTACTCGGATGCGGGAGTTACACTTAAATACTAACAGGTGCTTACGTATTCATATATTATTTAGTAACCTATTACCACACTGGAGGGCGGAAATATAGCGCTGATCGCTTTGAAATGTTCCATGAGGTTCCAGTTATGGTCAAGGAAGACGTCTAAAATTTTAGGTGATGATCAGATAATAATTTTTCGGATGAAGTGGACCGAAAACTTTATTATTTGTACTTTTCGAGTCGAAAGCCGAACATCACAACACAAGGAATCTGGACAAGTAATTAGAGGGGCTGTACTGATTATTAGTAACATTTGCTGACCTCTAGCCAGCCAAGAGTATGCAAAGATCGCGAAATATTACACAATCTCAGAATATAGAACCACAAAAAGTTAGATTTTCATGGAAGTTGTGTAGGGTATCGTATGGTCGGCCCCGTCCGACTATACTTTTCCGCTCACTGGTTTCAGTATGTTTTGTGCATATCGGCCACCTTTTTGAGTTCTTGGTGCATCATTCACTTCAAATCGGGAGAAAATATAGATGATAGCACTGTCCAAATATGAACCGATTTACATAAAATCGGAAGAAACTATATATAGGAGCTACATCTAAATCTGAACCGCAACTTAGCAGACATCATTCTTGACCTAATTCCGTACGCTTTTGTGCAAATCTAATGATATATAGGGACTTTGCTGCACAATTTACATTAAATCTGAAGAAAACATGTATGGAAGCTATATTTAGATCTGGACCGATTTTCAGGAAACTTAACACACGCTATTCTAGACTTAATTCAGTACGCTAAGCAAAATATCGTGCAAATCGAAAGATATATAGGGACTTTGGTGCTCCATTTACATTAAATCGAACGAAATTATATGTGAGAGCTATATTTAAATCGAAACCGATTTTCGCGAAACTTAACACACATCTAGACTTAATTCAGTAACGTATGCAAATTTCGTGCAAATCGAAAGATATATGTGGACATTGGTGCACCATTTACATTAAATTTACATCTGGACCGATTTTCAGGAAACTTAACTTCAAAACCTAATTCATTACTTTGGTATTTGACTTTTGTGCATCATTTACATTAAATCAGATGAAAATATATATGGGAGCTATATCTAAATCTGAATCGATTTTCACGAAACTTAGCCCACATCATTCTGCACTTATTTCACTACGCTATGCAAAATTTTGTGCAAATCGAAAGATATATAGGGATTTTGGTGCCCCGTTTCCTTTAAATCGGACGAAAATAAATATGGGAACTATATGTGAATCTGAACCGATTTTCAGGAAATTTAACACACATTACTCTAGACTAAATTCAGTGCGCTGTGCCAAATTTCGTTCAAATCGAATAATATATAGGGACTTTCGTACACCATTTACATAAAATCAGACGAAAATACATAAATCTGGACCGATTTTCCCCAATTTTAATAGGGTTTGGCCCAAGGACAAATGAGCTGTACCAAATTTCATCCAAATCGGATTGTAAATGCGACCTGTACTTTGTTTACAATTTAACATCTACAGACGGACGGACTGACGGACATGCATAAATCGACTCAGAAACTGATTCTATGCATATTCTCAAAATGAACCATGTGTCTATCTCGTTTCCTTTTACCTGGTACAACATGAGCACAAAGACATAATACCCTGTACCACAGTGTGGTGAAGGGTATAATAAAACTGTTGGCCCTCGATATTAAACAAAATCCCTCCCAACATTATAAACATATATTTTGGTTACCAATGGGCGTATAAGTATTGTCAGAATGTATACGCACGAAAATGGGTAGCTTAAATATCTCAAAAACGGTGATTCTACCACAGCCACACATTGAGAGGAGAATATGGATTGAGGACCAATTGGCAAAATTGTAAATAAGTTTGAAGAGACTGGCGAGGTAAAAAATATTATATGGTCATATCAAATATTATATGACCATAGCTGCTGTAAGTAAAATTGTCACCCAAGACCCAAATGTGTCGATTGCTCCTCATACTCAGGAATTAGGACTGTTTTATGGCTCAATATGTTTTATTTTTTGAGCTAGGCTTTATATTAGTGAAGGGAATATCATCATCCCTATAAAGTCTAGCTCACCATTCAGAACTTCGTCGATAAGTGGAATTAATGTTTGATCAGTCTGCGGTGAACTGGAATTTTTGGAACAATTTTTTCCACTTGGTCATATTTGGGGTTCTGAGAATCCTTAAGTAATAGAAGAGATGCCACCATATATAGAAACAGTCACTGTTTAGTGGGCTCTTTGTTCCGAAGGAAGGTGAATGGGTCGTACTTCTTCGAAAAAGACCATGGAATGGTCAATTCGAAGCGATATGTGTATATGATAACCGATTACTTTGCCTGCCAATAAAGAATATGTAGTTTCAACAAGATGGTGCCACACGCCACGCAAGACGAACGAATAGGTTTAATTGCAATATAAGCCGATATGGGCCTATGCATAAGAACGTTTTTATGTAGATAAACCGTTAATTCATGAACACTTAAGAGCCAACATTCGCGAATTTATGGCTGAGATAATAATATGTGGGAAAATGTGATCGATGCTGGTTCCGGTGGTGGCCATTTAAATAATTTAGTGTTTTGCACATAATATGGACTTTTCAATAAATAATATTTATTAGAAAAAAGAAAACTATTTTATATGTCTCTAATTACTCTAATTTTTGAAATTACGAAATGAATAAACCTGTGTATTTAATATCAACGTCAGATATCTAAAATTAATTACATAAAAAGATGCATTGGTGCGTATACATATTGTCAAAACGTATACGCCAAAGTTCCACTAATGGATTTTCATATATTAAATTAAACAAGTGAAAAAGCGGTAAGTTAGGCCGGTCCGAACTTTGGATATCCTCTACCATAGATATATGACAGCTACTAGAAATGAAAATATAGGGAACATACCAAAAAGGGGACCTAAACCGACATGTCTAAAAACGGATTATGTAAACCATAATGTAAGCCATAATACAAATTTCAGAAATTTTTAATTGATAGTTCAAATTCGAAGATGGCGAATATCGGTCCACTCCTTCTGAAACCTCCATACAGGGGCTAGGTCTAAATGCAGCTATAGTTCATTATCGAACCTTACGTTCTAATTTTTTATCTCGCTATCCTTCGCAGGTGAAATGATTACAATAGAGTCTTAGAACCAAACTCAAAACGCGGTACAAATCAGATAACTATTTTAATATAACAAAAGGGTTATATAGGGACTACCCCAAAAAGGGGGCGAATATTAATAAATTTTGGTAGAGAGATTTGTTACCATATACGACAATACCAAATTGCAGCAAATTCGGTTGAAAAACGCGCTCAAGAACCCCAAAATACCGAAAATTGGGGGTACCCTTATATGGGGGATATCCGAAAAAATTAACCTATATTTATATTTTTTTGTGGAGAGGTTTGGTACCCATTAAGAACCTAATGCATTAAATTTCAGCGTATTCGGTTGAAAAGCGCGCTCAAGAACCTCAAAATACCGAAAATTGGGGGGTACCCTTATATGGGAGCTACCCAAAAAAATTGACCTATATACATAATTTTTTGTAGACAGATTTGGTACCTATTAAGAACTCAAAATACTAAATTACAGCCAATTCGGTGGAAAAATACGACCAAAACCCCCAAAATACTCAAAATTAGGAGGTACCGTTATATGGAGGCTACCAGAAAAAGTGGACCCATACTTATAATTTTTTGTGGAGACACTTAGTACCCAATAAGAACCCAATGTACCAAATGTCTGCGAATGTGGCTGAAAAACGCGCTCAAGAACCCCAAAATACCGAAAATTGGGGGGTACCCTTATATGGGGGATATCCAAAAAAAATAACCTATATTTTTAATTTTTTGTGGAGAGATTTGGTACCTATTAAGAACCCAATGCATTAAATTTCAGCGTATTCGGCTGAAAAACGCGCTCAAGAACCCAAAAATACCGAAAATTGGGGGGTACCCTTATATGGGGGCTGTCCGAAAAAATGGACCTATATTTATAATTTTTTGTGGAGAGATTTGGTACCTACTAAGAACTCAAAATACTAAATTACAGCCAATTCGGTGGAAAATTACGATCAAACCCCCCAAAATACTGAAAATTAGGAGGTACCGTTATATGGGGGCTACCAGAAAAAGTAGACCTATATTTATAATTTTTTGTGGAGACATTTAGGACCCAATATTCGGCTAAAAAACGCGCTCAAGAACCCCTAAAAACCGAAAATTGGGGGGTGCGTATAAGTACTGTCAAAACGTATACGCTAATAGATAAATATTCGGTTTATTATTCAAATGTATTCACAAACTGCATGCTCTAAATATATTTCATCTTAATCTTAATCAACCCACTGAAACTTCCGCTGACGCTTTCGATACAATCTCCTTCGTCTTCTCAACCACAAACCCACACGATAAAAGACAATCTCACCCGCCAACACCAGAACACATCCAGCCAAACAAAGCAAATACAAATTCATGGCTCCATATAATTCATACAAACCCATCGCCTTGGGTATGTCATCGGTACGCATTTTACGAAATGTATTCCTCGTTAATAAATACTTCTCCCAACGATGCATCAGACCCTCGTTAAAATAACTCTTAATGTACATATTGAAACGATTTAGAAATATCGAATTTTTCATCATATAAATACTTAATCTCTGGGTGAAGAGGACCTCTGGTACCAAGTAGTAACCCTTATTGTTGCGATGAAACCATTTAAAATATCCAAAACGTTCGTGGGCCGTTAGGATGGCAAGTTTTCCGAAACCATATTTCTCGGGATGGTTTAACATGGGGAAACTTTCAATTTCACTGGCATTCATAATAACTGCGGTTTCATGTAACCTCTTCAAATGTTCCACCCCGTTGTAAATTATCTCAGGCATAAGTATGGTATAATTTTCTCTGCGCAATTGATTGATCGTCTTGGGTGGTGATCGATGCAGATCATGCCGTAATAAATGATACATTATCCCTTGATAAATGGTACGCAATACAAATGAGGCCAATAGCCATACCATAAGTAGAAATCGAGAAAATGGTATTCTCGGGTCGCGAGATATACCACCACCTAAACTTATGACAAATGTATTGTAGACGGGTCTGTGGATTTTCCGTTCCAAAAATAAATATTTCAGCTTGCAATTGAGTTGCGAAATCGAAAATACAACAGCATTACCAATTACCACCATTAAAATCAGGGTTAACCAAACCCCAGTACGAAATGGCAGCAACAACTTGACAAATGGATCATAGGGTTCGGTGTTAGAAGAGATGACAAAATAATATGTGCTCATATAATAGGTGGTTGACGGAGTGTAAATATCCTCCATGGAGGTGGGCTTATTGTGAAAGGCTCCAATCACAAAATCAGCACCCTCAGAGAAGAGCTGCAAGAAGGGAAATATAATTCTGTATTATATAAAAAAATAAAATTTCTTGGAATTACCTCCTTCAGCATCCTTCTTTCATCGTAAATTGTGCGATTAATCTCTTCATCCGACATCCAACGTATTGTCACGGTGAAATTCATTCGTCTTGCCAAATAATCCAATAATCTTCCCTCCAGACCTCTATAACGTTCGCTCGATGTGGCCCTACTTTTTTCGTCAAGTACTTCAAAGTACGGCATATCTTCCCAGGTGGCACAAACCAACGGACATCCATATAAATTATTCGACTTGGCAACATAAAAATTCGTATGCTGCCATCGGCCATTTCTAAATTTATTGTGAATAATCGGAACATTGGCCATGCAATGAAATTCGGTGAAGGGTAAATCATGAAACAGTAGAATACTATTTGGAGCAGCATAGACCATTATGTTGGCATGGGATATACCAGCATCTAGACATAATTGGGAGGAGGAATACAGCTCGTCGTAATAATGATTGGGCGCCGGCCACGTATACAGCAGAATGAAATAGGAACCCTCAATGTAGAGATGATATTTGAGAATGTTTTTATAGAGATATCTGAAAATAAATAGAAATGTGAAAGGACAATTTTTTCAAGGACCAACACAGGCGTTGACTTCTTAAAGAAGGTTTTTTTCGTGGTCCATTAAAAGGTGTGGATTTTTTCAAGAATATTGTTTAAGACCTATAAAAAGGCGTGTATTTTTAAAGAAAAATTTTCAAGAACTATGCAAAGGCGTGGTTGTTGAAGAATATTTTTTCAAGGACCATCCAACAAGTCGTGGAATTTTTTAATAATATTTTTTAAGGACCATCCAACAAGGCGTGGATTTTTTAAAGAATATTTTTTAAGGACCATCCAACAAGGCGTACATTTTTTAAAGAATATTTTTTAAGGACCATCCAACAAGGCGTACATTTTTTAAAGAATATTTTTTCAAGGACCATCCAACAAGGCGTGGATTTTTATACCCTTCACCACACTGTGGTACAGGGTATTATATCTTTGTGCATATGTTTGTAACAGCAAAAGGAAATGAGATAGACACACGGTTCCTTTCGATTTGCACGAAATTTGGCACAGCGTAATGAATTAGGTCTAGAATGATGTGAGTTAAGTTTCCTGAAAATCGGTCCAGATTTAGATATAGCTCCCGTATATAGTTTCGTCCGATTTAACATAGATGGTGTACCAAAGTACCTTAATATCTTTCGATTTGCACGAAATTTAGCACAGCGTAATGAATAAGGTCTAGAATAATGTGTGTTAAGTTTCCTGAAAATCGGTTCCGATTTAGATATAGCTCCCATATATATTTTCGTCCGATTTAAGGTAAAAGATGTACCAAA